GATATATAAAATTTAAATTGTTATTTCGGTTGTATCAAATCTAAAGCTCAGAACTTTTTTGTACACCTAATACATATTTTTTAGGTACAATAATTTCGAAAAATATGATATAAGTTATTTTATATTTTGTATTTTAATAAATTGCTAATTGATGTTAACTTTTAAAAAATAAAATGTTCTTTAAAGATATCTCTCCTGTGCGAGTACTTATTTTTACATTAACTGTAAACATTTTTGGGAAGATCCTGTGGATAATTATAGCATGATTCTAAAGCATAAATAGTACTATCTGTATGGGGATCCGTAAGCAAGAATTTTCATGCTTTTCACCTGCTCGTTGAGTCGCTCTTATGCGGAAAGTGGAAATATTAATTAGCATCCAGACGAACCCACATTACACGGTAGTATCAAAGGAAATGTCGAAAGAGTTGAGTTTTGTAGAGACTCCTTATAGACAAAAATTTACACGAGTGCGTTTCAATTACATAATCGATAAGATTTTCTTATAAAATGTATCATGCACTTAACTTAAATGATGCCTAATTTGGAAAGGAGACTTTAATTAGTTCTTTACCACACATTACTTCATAATTTAAAGTTCATTAAAAAAGATTTTAATAAATATCTTGCTAAATAATTTTTCTGTTTTTCTGGTAACTCTACTAATAATAAAACAAAAGAATTAAAAAACTTTTCTTGATAAAAATTTTATTCTTCTTTCTCAAACAATAAGGGAGAATTCCACATTTAAAGAAAAAATTAAATCAAATCAACAATTTTTTACAAATCTATCGATTATAAAAGTCTTTACTCAAAAGATATTCCAGTTATTTAGCTTTAAACTACAATAATTGACTTTTATATATTTATCGGTTTTTTTTCTTAGACATTTGCAATTCTTATATTTTTTCCCATCAAAAGCATCAAAAATATGTAATTTTAAAAGTATTTTAACGTAAAAGTATTTTAAATGGCATATGTATTTATAGTCTCGTGTTCTAATGCGGCTAAATGTATAGGTATAGGACTATTTGGATGCAAGAGATAAGTAGCTATCATTATTCTAATAATACTGCAATCGTATCATCCGCGTTTACCTCGTATTCGCAATCCCTAACTCTTCCCTACATATATTTTCAAATATTGAAATATACTTACATTTTATATACATTTTCGTAAAATAGTACGAAAAATAACACAATTATAAAAAAATTTGATTATAATTTCACATAAAATATGTATTATCAAATTAATTGGAATACTTAGGGAACTTTATCAACTTTAAATATTCAGTAAAATATTGGCTCTTCAACTTCTGTGGTATTATCAAAGTGATAGAAGCCGCTTAAAATTAGCTTTTATGCTTGAAGGATTATGCTTTAAAGTCGCTAGCAGATTTTGAAAATCTTTCGCTAAGTCCACTGAATCGTCGTGGAAGCGTAAAATCCTCGCGCACTCGGCTAAAACTTTCGTTCAAGCACGGAGCCTAGTCGGATAAATGATAAAAAAATCTGCAATTAATAGTATATTTAAACCATATTTGTAATTTTATTGCATATTTTACGAATATTCCAGAAAAGGATAGACTTTAGCGCCTTTTTCGAGGATTTACTATTTCTGATATATTTAGCATAAATCGCTATTCGCGTCGCTTGATAAATACTGACAAACTACTTAGAACGTATCGTGTTTAATTTAATTAATTTTGTGAAAAGTTAAAAAGTTACCATAAATCAGATTTTGAATTACAATTGTAAAATTAAATATACAAAATTTTTTATTTTTACAATAATCGTAATGATGAAAAAATTGTAATATTTTAGTTTTAGTACCTACATATAAAAAATTTTGCTTTTATTAAAGATTCAATGTGTGTAAAAATTTTACTTTGTGTAATTTAGTGATATATAAATTTTCTATAATATTACAAGAGTACTCTCTAAATTTAAATCAGTGGATAATCACTAATGTCAGTGTCAAGTATACCATTGGTAATTAGTGAATGAAACGTGAGATCCCTAACTTAGCTTTATATGATTCTTTATATTATGTGATCTAACTAACCTTGTTTTAGTGCATAAATTTAATGAATATGGTATTAGAAAATTGAAATTAATATGCAAATATCAATATTTTAGTTATATAATGTTCAAACATTTTTCCTTTTTTAGATGAACTTCACTGATTATCCAATGCCAAGTATGCCACTGGGTAATTAGCGACTATCCACTTCAGATTTAGAAAGTATAATATTCATATATACACGCTTTATATACATATCTGCACATACATATTTTATTTATTGAATTTTGCTCGTCTTTTACATGTATATTTATACTCTTCGTATATACGAGTCTCATAGAATACAATTACAGCGTGTCGATTTACTACTTGACTTTACGAGAACATTAAAAAATTTTTTTATCAGAAGATTTAGTCGATTGGTCGATGGGGTAGGTAATTTAGATTCTCTTCAAGCATGAAATCGATATTTAAGTTACCAAAACTTACCAGATTTCTGTCGAGTCTTCTAAAGTCTCGAGTACGCTTCTCCACTGTAACTAACTCGAAGATGTAGCATCTTTCGCGGTGGCAACGCCTGAAACATGTAGTAACAAAAGGGCATTTAGCAAAATTTCATTAATAAACTAAATTAAAATGATAGTAATTTCAAAAATATCAAAGATCATAATAAAAAAAAAGTACATAATAGGAATATTATATTTTATTTAAGATAATTAAGAGTTAAAAAAAATCTTTTAATAAATGATTAGCCACAAACTTGTACGAAAATAATTCATCGAAATCATTGTGCATGATCTTCTGTCTACATGTTCACACTGACATCTATATATTTACGTAAGCACATATTAATTCTCATACTATATTTACATTGTAAGTACATAGACGACCAGCAGCTTCATTAATCAGGTTGTCTTCGTGATGTTGTTTGCATGGGATTAGATAATATTTGCCGGCCGGTCCTGTTTATTCTGGAGCAAGAATGCTCGAAGAGAGTCAACGTGATTCGCACGAATCCTTTGTTGATCAATAAAATTTGGTGCTTACATAAGCCGGATAATGAGCTTGTACTCGCTTGGACAGAGGCTACGTTAATTACGCCCCATATGCCCGCATTTATGGCTACATACATACGTAGGTTACATAACTCGTGCTTCGTATTTACTTTTATTGTGCCGCAAATGAGTTGCTTTGTGCACATATCACGGTGCGCGTTACCGTAAATGCGTCTTAAACTTCGCTGCATACGAAAGTGTAGCGTAGATTTTAACATATTGAGCCCCGGCTCTCGTACAAAAGCGTAATTGACTGTATAAAATCTTTTTAATCCTTCCGTAAATTACTGTTACAAACACAGAGAGAAGGATTAATGCTTCCCGTTCCTTTCTATTACGACATAAAGATGACAAATGTGCAAGTTGTTATCGAATTTTTTTTCTTCATAACAAAATTAATCTCTAAAATTTATAAATAATTTTCAAGACTATTTTAAATTGCTATTAAAAACAAAGAATACGTAGAGAACAATAAAATTATTCTCTATAATTATTAGAATACTCGGACTTTTAAATTACCTAGCACTCGACAAATATTATGGTTTTATTATTACGATTCAAAACTGGAATCTCTCTCTCTCTCTCTCTCTCTCTCTCTCTCTCTCTCTCTGTTCTTTTTCTTTCTTTTCATTGATCATACGATCGATTTCGCAAAAAAGAAAATAACTGTGCCATTAGTCTGATTACGGTTTCGTATTACTTGGTTTGAGTACCACCTGAGCTTTTCTAGGATGGCGTTTGGCCATTGTACGCTCTGGTAAGCTTGGGTCGAGAAAGGTATAAGCTGGTATAGGTAGTATAAGAAGGCAAAACCGCGAGTTCATTAATTTTACCCCTCAAGGCAAACCTTGAGTCACACAAAGCATGCCCGTACATTAACACAGTGCACAATACGAATAAATATGCAGAGTGGTAAGCGAACTTTGGAGATATACATTATGCAATAACAATTCTATTTGAATACAGTAGAAATAATTTTTAGTCATGTTTTGGATGAGAGAAGCGTTTCATACTACGTTAATTAATTAAATCAATCAAGCCTGCGCCGAATTAATTCCATGAAATGATACAATGGCATTTAGTACAAGTTCGTTATATCGATACAATAAAAGAAGATATATTATGCGTAATTCATGAAAGTATGAAAAGAGCTAATCCATCTCATTAACCAACTATTTATTTCTTTAGTAATTATTATAATTATTGTTATTACAATTCCATTGTCAATATTATAATGAAATTATAATGATAATCAACACAAAATATTATCTATATCCTGCTTTCATAAAGAATATATGGAATAGATATATATAGATGTAGATATACAAAATGTATAATAGTATCCACGCGTTTCTCCCTAATTCCTCATATTTTATAAAAGATTTATACAGCGACTAAATTCATATATCGACACATTCTTTTTATTTTTGTTAGCG